TGCTCTATATGGTAATTCCGTATTGTGTAATTTGGGAGTTTAATAGAAGTGAGCGACTCGCAATTGAAAAAACAGGACTCGCCAATGGAGTATATATTCTCCGACATTTCTACTGTAGAAAGTGACTTGCATGAACACAAAGACTTTCTTCCTAATATAGTGACGGTTGGAGGAAGACTCACTGATTGAATAGAACCATTTCCACAAAAACACATTTCTTCTAATTTACGAACATTTTGTGGGATTTCAATTGACCGAATTTTTTTAAAAGATTTTTGGTCTTTGTTAGTTACAACCAAATTTTTAAATGACAAATAAGAGATGGCACCTACATTGAGGTAATCAGTAAATGCCACTTCAAACCATATGTTGACTTGAAAGAAATTTCTTTTGTATGTAGGAAAATATGTAATGTCATAAATGTCATTTCCAAAATTGGGATCATTGGCATCCCACAAGTTTAAAGTTTCTATGTTTGGAAAATAATTAATAGTTCGGTTATAAATGGGGATTGGGTTAAAGTGAAATTTTGACATGTTGCCTTTGTACTTTTTATTTACAAATTCTAATGAGATGAAATCTTTTATTGAACAAAAGTATTGTGAAATTATCATCATATGATACCCATCAATTCGACCCATTAATTTAATTATTCAGATTAAATATAAGAATTTATAAAAACTATTTATAGTTAAAACTCAAAATATATTTGCATGTTATGTATTTTTGATTGAATTGTTTTCCGATTAATTTAGTTTTCTTTTTATTTCTCTTGTTTTAATAATAAATTCAATTACAATTATTAATAACATTAATATGATGGCTATACTTTATGTGTTTATTTAAAACAAGATGTTAACCAATCATTTGGTGACAGGAAATATGTTATTAAGAAGATGTTTTTTAATATGTTTAAACAATTACAATGGATAGAATTTGTTCAGTTAATTAAATTAAACATATACTATTATTTAATGTAAACTATTTATTAACTTTTCTTTTTGATAAAAACGGTAGTAATGAGATAGTTAGTAAATAATAATCATTGTTTTTGAAATTTAATTATATATAATGGTTGTTTTTAGTAAAATTTTTTATATACTATATGCTTGATAA